TTGAGTGAGTTACCTTGTAGTCTGGCCCAGCGGTGTGACGGCCCAAAGGCTGGCTTGTCCATGGAGGCCCATATACACACCAGATCAGATTACACTCCTCCTTCCCGCACGTCACTCTGCTTCGACCACGCGCAGACGACCATGTCCATGCTTCTTCTTCCTCCCAGCAGCAGCAGAAGCATGGCGCCTCCTCCGGCCCTCCGCTCCCCGCGCGCGCCTATCTCTCCACGGACGGTAAACTCCTCACCTACACCTCCCTCCCGCCTTCTTCGCTCCACTATGGTTCTGGTTATTGTCTCAGTGCCTTCTACTCTAGTGCCCGCAACCTGTTCGTCGAATTGCTCGTCTCCTTCCCTTGTGGCGTTTGCCGCATCCGCGCACCCCCACGCCGGCCTCCGCCTCTCAGCTACACATACCAGAAAACAGAGCAGCCTTCCCCCCAAAAAACAAAGAAAGGAAGCAGTGCAGCCGCAAACGCCGGCCGGGTCGGACGGCTGCTCCGGCACGACGCTCCACCGGCACAGTCGACGGCGATATGCTGCTACTGTAAGTGCACAAGGGGGCGCGATGTGCTCACGTGGCTAGGGGGTGGGTGGAGCGTGGAGGCGCGGCGCCGGCAGGCAATGATGGGATACAGAAGGTGGCCGCCGGCGCTTCTGAGTGCCGCCATGAGCTGAACCGGGCAGGCGCATGACCGCGTGGGAGCCGGTGAGCTCTGTTCTAGCTAGAGTGTTCCAACTGATGAATTAATGCGTCAGTACTTACTTCTGAACACAGCTTAACGGAAGATGCTGTCGAATTTGCGTTGTCCGGCATTGGTCATGATTACAGCATGCATACAGTATCTACTTTGCAATCTTTGATCGACCATGCTAATGGATTCAGCCTACTATGTTCATCTCCACCTTCTTCTATCCCATGTGCCAATCCAAAGTTTCTTTGGTCTTGCAGGAATCACCCAGACGACATGCCATAGCACGGTGTGACACTTCACGGACCACGCCAAGAATATCTGAAACTGAACCTACGCTTGCTCAACCTTCAGCACCTGTCCAAGGTGCTACCGCCCCTCTGGTTCAGGCACTGAAATCAACTGCAGCCCAAGACGTGTCCTGTTTTCACTTCCCTGGACACAACCGAGGGAAAGCTGCTCCTTCTTCGATGTTGGACCTTATTGGCGCGGGCGCGTTTTCACATGACTTGCCCGAGCTACCCGAACTCGACGACCTCTTCTACCCTAATGGTGTGATTTTGGATGCTCAGAACCAGGCAGCTCAACTCTTTGGGTCATCTAAAACATGGTTCCTGGTCAATGGGAGTACCTGCGGAATCCAGGCCGCGGTGATGGCCACCTGCTGCCCTGGTGACTACATTGTTGTGCCTCGAAACTGTCACATCTCAGTGATCTCTGCCCTGGTTCTGTCCGGTGCTGTGCCTAAGTATATAGTACCAGAGTACAATTCTGCATGGGACATTGCTGGTGGTATTACGCCGTCACAGGTGGATAAAGCACTGAAGGAGCTTGAGAAGGATGACAAGAAAGTAGGTGCTGTTCTTGTTACTTCGCCGACCTACCATGGCATATGCAGCGATGTGCAATGTATCGTCGATGTTTGCCATCCTTTACACATTCCGGTTATAGTTGATGAGGCTCATGGTGCGCACTTCAGGTTCCATCACAGTTTTCCAAGCACGGCGATAGAGCAAGGTGCTGACTTAGCTGTGCAATCCACGCACAAGGTTCTGAACTCTCTTACACAGTCCTCGATGCTTCACATGGCTGGAGGTCTGGTTGATGCAGATAAAGTGAGCCAATGCCTCCAGTTGCTCCAGAGCTCAAGCCCAAGTTACCTCCTACTGTCATCATTAGATGCTGCAAGAGCTCAGTTGAGCGAGAACGCTAAATCTTTTGATGAACCGGTGGCTATGGCTTTAGAAACAAGAGATCAGCTGATGGTAATCCCGGGGTTATCTGTCCTGGACTTGTCATGCTTTGCTTCTGACTTCCCTGCCATTGATCCTTTGCGTGTCACACTAAGTGCTTCAGATCTACATTTATCTGGATACGAGGCAGATGACATTTTGGAAGAGCATCAAATTGTATGTGAGCTTGTCGGAACACAGGCGGTGACGCTTGCAGTCAACTTAGGGACCAGAAGGCAAGATGTTCAAAAACTTGTACAGTGTGCAAAGCATCTCTCAGATAAATACATATCTGCAAACGGATCGAGATTTAGTAAGCATAACTATGTTTGTAGCCCATTGGATAAGTTCTCTGTCAAGCTGACTCCAAGAGAGGCCTTCTTTACAAAGAAAAGAAGAGTGTGCATGGAGGACAGCCTTGGGGAGATTTGTGGTGAGCTTATCTGCCCGTATCCACCAGGTATCCCTGTGCTGATACCCGGTGAGGTCGTAACTCAGGATTCGCTGTCTTACTTAATAAACGTCAGAGACCAGGGCATGACAATCAGTGGAGCAGCTGATGGTGAACTCAACTCAATCATGGTATGCAACTTGTGATGATTATTCTGCCATTTCAAGATAACTATGTGGCAGAGATATTTCAATGGTTCACGGGCTCACGAATCATGATGCTTCTGTATAGTATGAGGGACGATAAGCGCGCATCAGCCCAAGCAGAGGCTTCTTTTCTGACAGATATGGACAAAACTCGTCTAACGGAACAACTGACTGCCTGCTTGGCCAGACATTGAGAATACATCTCGTGAAGAAAGAGCTAGCTGTCAAGCTACAAGAGGATGCCAAAATATAAGTAGGGTCTATGGCATGTGGCCTCCTGTGAGTATGAAGCATAAACCACTGAAGTGGCAACCTTTTCCTGTGAAGTGCCTTGGAATGTAATGATATGCTGCTTTTGTCCATAGCTCTCTTCAAGAAAAGAGGCAAATTAGCCACCAAGTAACAGTTCCTGTGTTTTCCTTTCTTTTCCAGCTTAACCCCCTTTGGTTCTCTGCAGAACGGCGCGCCCAATCTGCATCGGCTGTGACTCCGAGCTCGACCATCCGCTGCAGTTTGTACACCTTTTCAAGGTTTCCCAGAAGTATGTTGCAAGGTTGCCCAAGCAGGTACTCTAGCTGCTTCTGTAAGTCCCACATCAACTCAAGAATTCATTAAATATTCCACTGAACGTGTACCGAAAGATTTTATCATCTAATGCATCATTGCAAATGTAACCACCATTTCTTTATTTGTGCAAGAAGAAGAGGCTATACTGACAATACTTCCAAACTAAGGCCTCCACCAAAACGTGGGGCTCGAAACAGTGACCAAAGCAGTAGATTTTGGTTGAGAGAATTAGATTAAGGGACTAATCAACTCATACATTGCAATCACCAACCAGGAAAGTAATGTGATGATGATAAATTGATGATGATGGTGCAGTTAGGTTTGTCACGGGCTGGCTTTCTGCCAGAAACAAAGCTCACCTTAAACAATAAGGACCTGGTAGCTAACACTCTGCCCCCACTGTTCTGCTTGTTTCCTTCCCTGTTAATTAAGCACATAAAAGAACAAGATTTGAACTGATCTTTCGCGATAATCAAACCCTGTTATGATAAACAAGCATGCCACCAATCATGGCAGGTGGGGTCGGGTCATGTTTACCTATTCTACGCCATGAATAAGCCACAGATCATGTGAAGACCTCCTAGAAATGGGTGAATCGAAACACTTGCATCATTTATTTTTTAAACATGCCTGTTTTGTCTCATAATAATAATATGCTACAATTTTATCGAAAAAAACGTGTTCTTACTGTTGATATTCTGAACAAGTCACACTGGCTAGCTGATGAACCGAGCTGTCGCTCGAATCCAGTTAACTGCCGTACTGAACAACTAGTAGTACGTACTAATCGCAATTAATAAAACTGTTAGCAACGAAGCATCACATCAAAGGTCTGTTCCCCGTTGCGTGTGCTCTGATTCAGACCGAGGCCTGCATGCTGCTAATTTGTCTTGAACTTGAAGTGGGATTAAGTGCCCAGTGCCCACCATGATAATAAAGAAGCTAAGTAGTGAGTCACGTTCCAACAGTAGTAGTAGTGGCACATCACTGTTTCTTATTACAAAGATACAGTGTCAACATTGTTAATCAGTGGTTGGTGACATTGACTGATTAAGGAGCGCATCAGCTCGGCTCAGTGGCCACGGATTCACACATAGAAGTAGTGATTAGTGTGTGAATTACACTATCAAAAGTGGTTTTAATTTGCATTTTTGTAGGACTGGCTTCCATGTGAACACTCTACTTTATACTGTCTACTGTTGAATTATCTGAATTTTGATCCGGTCGACGTTTGACTTTGCTGAATTTTTTGTTCCTTGTCTAAGCTGAAAGCAGATTTTACCATGATTCTGCACTCATGGACTGCAAAAGATTATTTTTCATTTCCTTGGGACAAGTGTCCCACTGGCAGTACTGCATGTAGTACCATCTAGGCATCTAGCTTTGCCCTTTGCTAGGTCTATGATGAACAAACGAGTTAATTGGTCTTAACCATTATGCAGTACTGGTAGTAGTACTAGATGCGTGCACGCATGGCGGCATGCATGTAGTCCAACAGACATGAAGACTTGAATGATTTGCACGACTATTATTGTACCAGTAGCAGCAGCAGCAGCAATTAATCATCATCACTCCTGACAAGATTTTACCATCTGGTTTAAGAGCAACTTCAATGGAAAAGTAGAGTAGAAGAGAGGGGCCCCATGGCCAGTAGAGATGTTGAAACAAGCTGAAGCTCCGACAATCTACCAAGTATGTACACAACTCCACTCCACATAATATACACAATCCTATGCATATGCTTCTTATCTCGTCCAAAGTTAAAAAAGAAGTTTTACCAAATGACAAGGTAATATTCAATCATCAGCAAGCACGTGGAAGAACTAAAAGATGAGATCAAACTTGTTTTTTACTAGCACTAGTGATGGTGGTTTCTCGAGCTCGAGGAGCGTGGCAATGGCAGCAGAGATTGGTCAGTTGATGCAGGTGGTGGTTGCGGCGCCGGGGTCCATGGCGGTCTCGAGCTGGCGGAGGGAGAGGGAGGATGGCAGGGAGAAGGCGCCGGCCATGCCCACGCCCACGCCCATGCCGCCCACCTTGTTGATGCCGTCCCAGCCGATGTGCCCGACGTGCTGCACGTCGGTGGGGTACCCGATCACGATCTCCTGCTCCTCGTCGTCCTCCTCTTCATCGACGTCGTACGCCGCGAAGAAGGTCTTGATTCCCCTGAGCAGCCGCTGCACCCCGGCCGTGACGGTCCCTGCCGCCGCCGCCGCCGCGGTTCTCGCCTTGTCCTCGCTGCTTTCTTCTCCGGCGCCTCTCTCTGAAATGGATGTTCTGCTTGCTGTTAGTATGTGGCATGGATCTTCGTATGAATTGCGATCAGGAAGTACATACCCTGTGCGGTGGCCGTCGTCGTGGTGGAGGAAGAAGGGTTGTCGGCCTGCGGCTGCGGCGCCGGTGCTGGTGGCTTCTTACCGAGCGGATCGGCGACGGCCACGGCGGACTGCGACATGCAGCCGATGGAGAAGGGGAATCCAGCGCCGCCGCGTCGGTCCTTCATCGGAGCCGGAGCTGGAGATTGATACGAACACTACGGAGGGTACAGATGATGAGATAAGGAGAAAGAAAGATGCAGGCAGAATGGTGTTGCGTTCTTGGCCCGGCGTGTCTTATAGGCAGTGCACGCGGAGCAGAGTTTGGTGAGAGAGAAAGACAGAAGCAGAGAGAGGGAGACAGGGCATCATCAATCAAATAGGTTAATTTTGGTAGCATGGTATCATGGAGATCAATCAGGAACGATCTTCGTGGACTAATTGCTTTTTCCCATGGGGGTTTCTTTTTTCTTGTTGCTGCCTGCTGGTGCTGGGGCTGGGACGTGCACATCAATTACGTTAAAATTCCTTTCAAAAGGGGTGGATGATTTGGATTTGGCGCCATCATTTCGCTAGTGGATGCAGCACGCACACAAAGAAAAGAGATGTCTCTCCTCCGGCCTCTTTTTGGTGTCTCATCCTTTTGGGCGGGTGCGGGTGGGGTGCGTCAATTCGTTGTGGAAGTGTGGGTTTTGACCTAGTTTCTCATATAAATTGGACCAAGTTTAATTTTTATTATGAAATCACATGAGCACCCTACCCTCTCTTGACGAAGTCCCGTAAAAAAAAGCTTGTAAAAGTGTGACCACGTGACTTGAGATTATGGTTGAACTCTCCCGGTCTCTGCATCCGAGGACACACGCGGCTAAAAAGTTATCGCAGAGAATCTTCATTAAGAAACCGAAACAAGTATGAATCATATGAAGGCTTCTTTGGTTCATAGGATAGAAATATCATGAGAATAGGTGTTTTAGTTCTATAGAGAAAGGGATGTCATTTCATTCATATGATAGGAACCTTTTCATTGGGTCTAGGCTAAGTTTTTCCTTCTTTGAAAGAAGGATTGGTTTCTATCGTACGAAATTCATCTGTACAAGCCAAAAGTTTTAAAAGATTTTTTCCTACAAAATCTTTATCCTTCTAAATTACTACTACACTAGTAATTTGATAATAGGATTTCCATAAAGCAAATGGGCCGGATTTTTCAGATAACAGGGCAATGCTCCGGGCGTGTCATGGTGCGCGAGTAAAATGTTTGTGCGGCAGGTCCAGCGTGACGCGGACGTACAGCCATGAGCCGCGTGCAGGTTGAATAATTCAGAAAAAAAAAACAATGGATGGAAAAGGGAAATAAGCCTGCCTGCTTTTGAGATTCTTGAGGGGCCCCCTTTCCACCTTATTTATGCTTGTGCAAAATGAAAAGGGCAACCTCGATCATGATCTCATCTGATCTGAATGAAATGTACACCAGCAATTTGATAATAGGATTTTGGTGAGGTTAAACAGTCGGCCTCTCTGCTGCTCCAACCCAACCAACCACCTGTATCTCAACAAAAAACAGGGGGAAATGGCGTGAGACGGATCTTTTTCACACGTACTCTAATCATCAGAAGAAAACAGGAGAATTAAATTAGTCCAACTCTGCTAATGATGTAGTAGTACAATATCTAAAAGCAATGCAATTTGGCAATATTAAAAGCGTGAAACATGGCCACATGAAACATTCTCTCTGTGGCAGATCACTTGCATTGAACACCAAGCTCGGCCGGCCATGCGGGATCCAGAGGATAGGAGGAGGGATTAAACACGAACGGTCTTCAATTCGTGAACTAATTGCTTTTTCAGCTGCATTAACAAGTTGTTGTAGCAAAAAAAACTTTGGCCCTCGCGTCATCCTGTCAGGCGACTAGGTTTCGCCTTCTGATGTCACCTCCCCATCCTCTCCTCCATCGCTGCCACCCATGCAAGCACTGATGACGGTGGGGGCGAAGATCTCGTCGCTCCGCCCTCACATGGAGGGTTACGTGCTCTGGGCAGCGGCCCCAGTAGGTGTGGCAGTAGCGACTTCGCGGCAGGCGATGCTCATGGGTGGTGAGGCTGGTCGATGCGCTCGACTGCATGGGCAGTGAGTCATCGATAGAAGTCAGTTGCAGCGCGGAGCTCCTCCTCCTTGTTGGATTTGGAGGTACTCCTCTGTTGTCTCTCTTCCGTCGGTCTTGGCTGCTAGTGGGTTTTGTCGGAGCTAAATCCGATAGATCCCTCAATAGGGTATCCTAAGTTAGGCTATTTGGCACGACGGAAACAGAGACGAGGTTTTGGCCTAGGTTTGGACTCTTCAAGGGGATAATACCCTACGTCATGCTTGTGTTTTGTTGAGTTGGAGTGTGTACAAAGTACAAACTGCCAAAAGATTGTAAGTTGTCTATCTACGAGCCCGGACCCCGGTTTATATAGCATATTGGGATCCTAGGTTACGTGGATCCTAGTTGGCTAGTATGAGGAGGTAGAGTCCTCCACGAATCCGGCTTCTTGTCTTGTATGTCAAGTTGTTGGGAATCTTCCATTATCGGTCATGGGTCGTCTAATGTGGCCCAGGACAAAATCGACAAAGGGGGTCCTCAGCCCGACCTATTAGTACTAGAGTAGTCGTGGTGAGAGGCCCCTTAGCCGGGACACCGTCACTAGCCCTTAACCAGTCTTAAAGCATGGCTGCACCTCGATCCATCCATGATGCACGTTGTCTTCGGTCGCCTGTCTTGAAACAGATTCAATGAAGTGTCCTCCGAACAGTGCCTTCACGCATCAGAGCTCCAACGCCGGACTGCACCCGTGGTGATGTAGAGCACCTCTATTCCAAAAATGTTGAAGGAGTATAGACGAGATGCATGTTGGAACTGCTTCCCTCGTAGCTGGTCAATTTGGTGGGAAGAACTCCCGCACTCCATCATGAAGGTTATTCGATCTGGTTCTGACAAGCCAGACCAGTCTCATCCACAGGCGCACCTGGCCACATGGCGTCTTTGACCTGATGGTCCACGTGACGTGCAAGAGCGGGTTAGGGGCCCACCAAGGTCACGTCCCAGCTAGAGGGGTCATGTGCCTCGATCCCCACATGATGATTAACAACAATGCCTTGATTACAGTGCATAATCATCGCTTAAACATGGAAACCGAAGGGATTTATTGCCGCGTGGCGGCATTCACCTGCTGCCATTGCACATTTACCCCCTCCTATAAGAAGGAGGAGATAAGGGGGGGGGGAGCTTCACGGCCAGTCCCCTCACAGTCATCTTCTTCCTCGCGCCCAAACCTCCAAACGCTGAAGTGCTCCATAGTCCACCACCACCAACCATTATTCTTCGCGCATCGCAGCGCGGCACCACCACCGGAGCCATGTCTAGAGAGCGCAAGATTCAAAAGGGAGGCAAGGCGGTCAACACCGTCAAGGGCACCGCGGCGTAGCTGAAGCCGGGGGCTCCCTCCTTGACAAAGGGAAAGTCGAAGCCCTCCATCATGGTGCAAGCCCACATGTGAGCTGCATATGGGAGGTCCCAGTCAGCCCAGATGTTTGGACTGGCCATGCATTTGTTTTAGAAAGAAGGCTCTAGATCAATCCGGTTTTGAATTAATGAAGTCATGAACTGGCCATGAATCAGAGCGTCTACAACCTAAGGCCCCATATCCTTCCTAAACGTCCGAACAACCTGCCTGATCACTGCCCAAAAAGCAAATTGCCACCCAACCGGACTGTGCATAGCGATGGCGAGCTGGGGCTGGGTTACAGGGAGTGTCGTGAGCTTGACACAACGATCTCTCCCGCTCTTTCGCTGTGTCATGCTTTTGGACGGCAACGATTTAGGCATGTCTAATAGGTGTGATGATATATGTTTTTGAATTATTATTTTAGGTAAATTCGAAGAAAAAAAACTAGAGGTTTTTTTTCATGCATCTAGAGGGAAATTCAAAAGAGATACTTTATGGGCCTCTGAGTCCGAGAATGCACACATTTAAAGGTGAACACAATGTTCCGACTGATTATGGTCGCAAAAAAGATTGTCATGCAAATTTCACCAAGAAAAATAATTGAAAATACTCGTTTTCGGATGGATTGGCAATTAGCAGGGCATGTGTTCATCATGCCTGAATCTGGACGTGCCGCAGCTTCAGTGTGGCTTCTCTAAGGACGCGTACGACCGTTAGCTAGCCAGCTGCAGCCTGCAGGCTGCAGGCTGAATAATTCGTACGTAGCATCCCAGAAAAACCTGGGAACGAAATGAAAATGATAAGCGTGTTACTTTTGAGATTCTTCAATCAGGCATCAACTTTAGATTCTTTTTATATTTCTGATGAAAAGTTGAACACATAATCTGAAATCTACGCCAGCAATTAGATACTGGTAAGGATGGATTATGGCGAGGTCAACAAGTCTCCAACCCAACCACCTGCATGTCTCTGCCCCTCAACGAAAAACAGGTTAATTAAATATAAAACAGAGTAGAATATGGAAAGAAATAGTGCAATATGGCAATATTAAAGGAGTGCAACATAGCCACATGCATGAAACATTCTTATTCTCTCTGTGCGGCTCGATCACTTGGCTTGGACACCAACCAAGCTCGCCGGAGGAGAAGAGGATGCAGTGCAAAAATGGTGTTGTCGGCCGGCTGAAGGCCTGACCAGTCGTGCGCGCTGCCTTGGCTTCACGCATGTGAGAATTGGACAGGGAATCCTCACACGGAAAATTCATTTTAGCCCCCAGAAGTTACTTTGGGAAATTCAGCAACAAAATTTTTCTATTCGCACAAAAATCTTGTAAGTTGGAAATAATTCATGCAAAGTTCAAAAACAACATGATTGGGTTTCCTGGAGAGGGAGATGGGTTGAAGACCAAATTTGGCCATGCATGCAATGCAATCCAGGCCAGGGTGGCGAGAAAGGCGTCGGCTTGGCGAGAGAGAATGAATAATATATCTGCAAGAAGCCAACAACCACTTGCTTTATTTGCAGTTTCCCGGAAAAGAGATAGCCAATCAGTCAAACAATCGTAGAGGAATCAGCAGAAGTTTCCCGGAAAAGTTAAGGCATCTTTTTCTTACTGCTGCTACGTACTCATGTCAACGCATGCATGCATGCAACATGGTGCACGTGTTTTGCCGGATTGAGCAACATGTGATGTATGCGATCAGGT